TTTTTAACATTGCCTGAGTGTTTTGCTGGACTGGTGCTATCAGATTTGGTTGTTTGGATCCCGTCCCAGTTAACCTTGGCTTTGGTGAGAACTGGACACTTGTCTCCATTACTAACTCTTCAGTTTCAGATGGTATACAATTTTGTTATTTATTCACTGTAGTAGAGTATGGTCACCAAGCCACAAGTCACAACTCAGAAGCTTTTTACTGGACTTGGAAAAAAAAAAGTTGCTTTCTGAGATGCAGTATATGTCTTTATTTTTATCTTTCTTTTCATTAGTAACTGTTTGCAGTACATAATGATTACATGCATTGTGGGGAGTTGGTACATGTACATAATACATCTTAATTCTCCCCCGTCCCTTTCTTATTTTCAAATGATCTATAGCAATCTTGAATCTGTGGTAGATTAAGAATCACTTCTCATATCAGAATTCAATATGGCTGCCTGTAATAAGACCTCCTGTTACCACTCGTGTCTAGATGTCCCCCAAAGCCTCATGTGGTCATAAGTGGAGCTTTTCAGAGGTGGCTGGATCTAGAGTGTGTGACGCTGGGGTTAATTCATGTAACACTAGGATTAAGGGTGTGAGTGTTACTTGCCCTAAGAACAGGCAGCCTGGATGAGATATAAGGGACAGAAAGAGGCTTATCTTGTCACTGGCTTGCTTTTGCTGTCTTCTGAACTTTTTCTCCTCTGCAATGCCCCTCAGCCATGCTACCCTGCCTTGGAGTCGGCCCATTATAAACTGAAACCTCTACATACCATAAAGTGAAATAAACCTTTCCCTTTAACTTTGGGTACCAAATATTTTGTCTCATCAGTAAGAAAAAGTAAGACATCCTCCCACCCCATCGAGGGGGCTAAACAACTTAGAGTCATCGTCCCCCATAAACTTAGAAACATAGAGATAGACTTTGCCAGAGTCCTGGTCCCCTCAGAAATCCATTGTCCTTCTGTCTCTATCCTTGGCAACCTTTAAAGAAGAGCTTTTGCTCTGTTCCTACCTCTGACACGCTGTCTGTGTCCCAGTGGGAAAATGAGTTAGGGTGAAAGGGCAAACTGGCCACATCTGCCTCTGTTCCTAAAGAACTTTCCTCAAAACCAGACCCAGAAACTTCTGTTTACATCTCATGTGCCAAAACTGTGTTTCATAGATATCCCTAGGTCTAAAAAAAAAAAGACAATAGAAAATAGTTTTTTCTTAGCTAAGCACATATTACCCAAAGAGAACCCGGATAGTATTATCAGGAAGAGAAAAGTGTTGGTATCCAAGCAAGTAGCAGTCTCTTAAGCAGTAGGTTCTCCTAACTTAGCTTTGTTTCTTGAAATAAACTTTAATCTTTTATTGAACATCAATGTGTAAGGTACTGCTGCAAGATTTGCATCTAGAAGATAAATTTATTTTTGTGTGGGATAAACAGAAATTTTACTTGTATTATGGCCAAATGTGTGAGTTAGATACAAATCACACACTAGGTACTGTTCAAACTCCAGGATGGTCCTGCTACAAGATTACATCCATATGTAAACACACATTGTATAGGAATTTAGTTGTTACTTTAAAAATGAATTTTTGATATATTGGGGGTTTTTTTCATAAGAGCAAATGTTTATAAGCACCTGGCCATTCTACAAGGCACTATGGGTAGAACAAAATTGAACATATAAAAATCCAGCCATCTCCAGTGTGTATGGCAAGAAGGGAGGAAAAATACATATGTAAGTGGCTGTAAAGCAAGGTAAAAGGTACTGACTCTGGTAAGAGACAGACAAGTATAAGCATTTAGAAGAGGAAACGTTATTGCTGCAAGAGTTTATCTTCACAGCTAGTGAGCACCATCGTAAGAGTATACATGTTGAAAACATACATCAACTACTTTTATGAATGATTACTGATAGGTAGACTTGTATGTCATCCCATCCTTTGGTTTATTGATAAACTAAAGTAGAAGTCTGGGAAAGAAGGGAGCATTTGCTGAATGTCTGTTATGTGCCCAATATTTTATTTCAAGAAACCCTTACTGAATGCCAGTGCTAGACCTTCAGCAATCCAGCAAAGTATTTATAATATATATATTCTTTGAGAAAACTCAATCTGGAGTGAAGTTAAAGAAAAGAAAACTCAAGCTCAGAGAGGTTAAATAATTTGAAAGGATTGCCCAGCTGTGAGTAACAAGCCCCACATCTGAGCCCAGGCACACTTGATTGAAAAGTTCTATTCTCCATTGACCTGGCCCCTCTGCCTTTCTCTGATGAGCTTACCTGGTTCCATGCTGATGTTAACGGTCAGTTTCTCCTTCAGCCTCCTCAAATAGGGAACCTGTACCCAGCTGATCAAGGCTTGGGCTTCATGTAAATATTTTGAATCATGCTCAGAATTAATTGGCTAGCTGCTTTAGTGTTTTTAGAACTTGATGGCTTTGGGGGGAATCTTTTTTAGTAAATTATTTTTGTAATAACTACACACACCCTATACAAATTAAAAAGATGCAAATGGTATGTAGTAAATAGTAGTAGTCTTCTTCCTACCTTGACCCTTAGCTAAGTCTTCTCCATGGAAATTACTGGGTGTTTTGCATATTCTTTTAGCATTACTTTATGAAAATACTAACATATGTGTTTGTATATGTGGATGTATTTTCTTTTTATTTACACAGATAAGGGCTTCTAGACTCAATTTTAAATCTGCTACTGTAATTTATCCTTTATTTATATTTAGACATTCTTTTTGTATTTAGCTGTCCCAGGAAGAAACTTTTTTTTAAGAAAGGGGGAAAAACAACTTGATAAATTTGGAAATATGTTTACAGTTAAGTCACTTCAGTGGTAGCATTATTGACTAGATGGTCTTACCAATGGCATTTCTTTTACAGCATTAAATTATATTCCTCGGTAAAGAATATTTGTATTCAGAAGTGTTGTTTACTAGAAACAGTTTTATTTCCCTCCTCTACTACCTACCCAGTGAAACTGTTTCTGAATAGTTCAGCATAGCCCTCACTCTGGTACCTTTTGGGCCTCATTTTATTGTCTCACTTTGTATCCAGTGCCATGATTCTTGCAGCTCTAAGTAGAGCTTCTTCAGCATTTGTGCTGAGTTCCGATCTTCACCCCCTCTTAAGTGAGACGTCCCCCGAACACCTCTAGGGTGCAGGGGTGACAATGAGAAGAGCAGCCTGTGGAAGCCCGTTCCTGCTCCCTCTTCCTTCTAGTCGAGCCTCGCGGAGACAGCAGGTGCAAGGAAGGGGTTTGTTGGAGAGCCCACCCCAGAAGTCTGGCCTCTTGCTGGATGCGTATGAGGCTGGCCAGAGCAGGCAGGGCTCTTGGCACTTGGGGACCGTGGGACACCTTCTCACCTGTACACACTCATCTGTGCTGCTCTCCTGACTGCATCCCTCTTGCAGGGTCAGGTTGAGGAGAACACCTAGCTCTTAGGTGTTTTTCTTCAGGTGGCTTGCAGAAGTGGGGAGCATCTCAGATTGATCAGCTCGTGCAAGTGCTCAGATCCTCTCCCCTGAAGCTCCTTCGTTCTCTGTCAGGAGTCTCAATCATGCACGTTATCTCCTCATAAGCACTTAGATTCTCCCTCTTGTCTGCCTAACCAGGAACCATGGACTTGCCCTTCAGAAATGGGACATCCCAAGGCATGAGTAGAGAAGGCTTGGTTGGCATTTTTCTAAAGCTATCTAGTTCATCTTTTAAGTCTGAAACAATAAAATTCATTAAGGACAAAAACAATACCAGTGAAGTCTGTCTAGATGGTGCATATTTATTAACCCAGTGAATGTTTATCAACCCGGCCATGCAGAAATGACATTTCTGCCATCTCCCTTCATGTGTTGCCTCTACAGATCAAAGTCAGTTTCAGGATATCCTTTTAATAAAAAGTGCTGTGTAACTGGGTATGGTACTGCACTCCTGTAATCCCAGCACTTGGGAGACTGAGGCAGGAGGCTCACAAGTTTGAGACCAGCCTGGACTACATATTGAGACCCTGTCTCCAAAAAAAGGTGCCTGTATGTTGTCAGTTACATTATTTTTCTTTTCGTATGACTTCACATTTATGTTTTTATAATATATACATTTTGAAAGTAGTAAAGGGCCTATAACAAAATTTGTGACACAGACATACAAGAACTGGTTTTTTACAAACAGTATTTTTAATGCAATAAGTAAGTTGCAGGGATTTTTAACCATCTATTTGAGGAACTATACTTGCACATCTTTAACTGTAGACAGATATGGCATTTGTGATGTTTAGATGATCTTTTTTAAGCCTTTATTCATTTGTAGGCCAACCCACCCCCCCCACCCCACCCCCTGCAGAATACCCTTGTGTATTGCTCTTGTATTCATGTGGGAATTTTACTTTGAACCTGTTTTCAAGTGCATAATCTTACATTAATTTTAAACCAACAAGATGTTAATGTACTAGAATTCCAAAAATAGCCCTGGGACCATGCTCAGTCTGGCTTCTGGCTTCTGTTCCGACCCCGCTTTGCAGTCTATTTACTTGTTGCTCCCAGGCCATAGAAGGTTCTTCCCTCTCTTCAATCATGCAGTCTCACTGTAGGAACTCAGAGCTCTGCAGTGGGCTGGTGTCTCATCACGCTTCAAGTCAGTTTTTCTCTGTGCTCCATTTCTTGTACTTAACCCCAGTAGGAAACATTCCTTTAAAAATTGTTGAATGTGATAATGAAGGCTACTAAGACTAAGAGAAACCAAATACTTTCTTAATTCATGCATATACACCAGCATGCTACCTTGATGCCCAGATTCCTGGTCCACTACACTTTCAACAAGACCATTTCAACCCTTCTTCGAGATTCTGCTTCTTTGAATCTATACCTGCACTGACAAGAGAAGTGTTTCCTAAACATTACTGAAACAGCTTCTCTTTTTTCTTTAGTCTCTTTGGGATTGCAAACCAGTTACATCTAGCAAATGAGCTGTGAAAGGAATCTCCACCGATCATTGTTTTTCTTTTTCTTATAGGCAATCTTTGGCAGCCAGATACTACCTAACTCTAATTTATGGACAATGAATAACGGCGCAGGCTGCAGAATTTCAGGTGCCACTGCTAGTGGCCAGAAGCCAACCATTCTGCCACAAAAAGTGGTGCCATCTCCAAGTTCTTCACCTTCCCTGGTTCCCAAACCCCCAGCCAGTCATAAACAAGTGCTTAAAAAGGCCACATACCAGAGGGCTTCCAAGTAAGTTTCTAATTATTTTCTTCAGTTTTTTTTCAACATTCTATCAATTCTGAGCTAGTAATTCTCTTAGTTGTGGAGACTGCAAGAGCATTTGTCCTGAAATACCAAAAACCAGAACACCTGATGAGGAGCAAAGGCTAACTTTGGCTTCAAGCAGTGCTACAAATCAGAATCACCCAGGGAGCAATTGCAGCGGGGCAGGGCTCTTCCCTGTAGAGGAGCAGGCTCTGTTCTCGCAGATTCCGGGATGGCTGTGATGAGAGCAGCCTGCAGAGTTCAAGGCCATTGCCAGCCAGCTCGGCTGGCCTCTCGTAAGAGACACAGTCAGCCAGCAAACGAGTAGCAGTCCTGAACTGTGGGCTACAGAAAGAGAAGAAAAATGGTTTCCTCTATATTTTGCCTCTTGGTCATTCTGCAGAGCCAGATCATTTCAATTTCGTATAAAATTCAGCATAGTCTTCCCGTACCTTGTTAGTTTACATTTAGCCATTTGAGCAGGAACACACAGGATAGAGATTTCATCTTGAGGATTAACTTCATTGACACAAATCAACAAACTCTATAACAATAATATTTCTGGTACCTTCTACATTCTACCTATTTTATACCAAAAAAGGCATTTCCATGTCTGAGTCAAACTGTTACAGGCAACAGTCCTTCACTGTACCACCAGCCTTTTTTAAAACACTGTGCTAGGAAGAAACTGGTAAAGTGTGTTGGGTCTAATCCCATCTTCAGTTTAAAATCAAGAACTGTTCGGGAAGCCTGGCCACGGGAGGCATCTCTGCTGGGTGAGCACCTCAGGGTTATTTATGGATTTCTCTTGCTGTCATTAAAGCTCCTTACTTACTTGTCCTTCACAAGATCAATTTTACTTGTAAAAAAAGAAGCCTAGGACATGGAAAAATGAGTTACTATTTTTTCCCCCTGGGATAGTGAATCAAATTCTGGCTGTGAATTGAAAATAATCCCTTGTGGCTGTTTGAAGCATATTGCTGCCATTACTCATCTACCCAGCACGTATTTACGCAGTGCCTGCTAAGTACCAAGCACTGTGAGGAATGGTTGGGGTTGTAATGACTGCAGAACTCTCTGGAGCAGCAGTAGCACAGGGTGGTAGGGAGGCAGAAGTTTGTGGTTGATCGCTGGCAGAAAAACAGAAAGGAAGCTGTGTGCCGTCTCACCCTAGAAACGGAAGTCAGATCCTTGAGGGCTCAAACCCTTCTGGAGCCAACTTACATTCCCACTCCACAGTTTACTAATTTGACGTCTTTGACAAGTTACTTAATCTCTTGACCTAAGTTTCCTCATTTGTGAAAATGGGGCAATAGGAATATTATTTACTAGGTTGCTTGGTAAACGCTAACAGAGCTACTACACGTAAAGCACAACGGAGCAAGCCCTGGCACACAGAAGAGCTCAGCAAGCCCACGCTGCCACCACGTGCATGCTAAAGCCACACTGCTCTCGACAGCTTTGGAAAGCTCGTAGCTAACTGGGAAATTAATGAGCCGGAAGTCAGTGTTCAGTTTGCTAGTGCTCCTTTTTTGTGGATCCTCTGATCATTGCCACTTCCCTGAACTGGCCCTCGGTGGGCTGTGGGGCGGGCCGCTGAGCTGGTGGAGAGGTGGCCTCGGGCAGCAGGGCTGGGCATCCGGATGTGCCGCTCAGTACGCTGAACTCCTTGCTGGCAGGAGAACTCTGCAGCCTCCTGAGATGGAATTGTAGCTCTCTGGACAAACTTTGCTTTGGACATTTTTGTGGTTTCTTCTCTGTGACAGGCAGGAGTGTGGGAAAACCGGAAACAGCTCAGCATCAAAAATGCACAGAAGGGGGGAAAAAAACAAAGATTTCTTCAGAATTTAAGAAATATAATCCAAGTATCAAAAGGCATGCTGTGAGGCGATGTTCCAGGAAATAGTTTCCAATGTGCCTTTAAAACTCTAGCACAAATCTGCACAGCTTAAGTTAGCACTAATGAAGACCTTAACATTCTCTCACATGTGAAGTGTCCAGGGCCATGAAGGCCCCACAAATATTTTCAAATATTCTTCTTTCAGAAAAACTAATAGCGTCTGAACTGACTCAATGGCAAAAGGAAACCACTTCTATGAAATATCCAGTTTTTTTTTTAAATAAACTGTTTATTAATTTTAGGTTTACAGAAAAATTGTAAAGATAGTGTAGAAATTTCCACAGACTTCCTTCCCAGTTTTGCCTAGATTGATATTTTATATTACCATGCGGCATTTGACAACTATACTAAGAAACTGTCACTAGAATGTTACTATGAACTAAACTCCATACTTCATTTGGATCAGTGAAGTGATTTTTTAATCTAAGGCAACTTGTCATGGCTTCTAAAGTCAGGATCCTGAGTATCTGTTGATATGTTCTTACTGTTCTAGAGTAATTCTTGGTCTGAGCCAGTGTAACATCTGTCCATCTGTGACTCAGTTTCCTATTTTAAAAACAGAAATAATAATACTACTGCCTAACAGAGTCTTTAAGAGAAATAAATGAATTAATGAATATCAAGCACAAATACAGTGCCTGATGCACAGTGTGTGTGAAATGAGTCTTGGGTATTGTGATTAATACCTGAGATGGCATTTCGAGAAATTTTCATGCACTTTTTACTTCCTGCCAAATGTGTTGCTTCATCTGCTTTGCTTATTGTGGCCTTTATCCTGGCTTGATTTGGATTAATCAGAAGCCCTTAGTTATGACTGGTGGTACTGAATCACACTCAGGAATGCCATAGTTGCCCCAAGAGACACAACTAATGAGAAGTTGTAATGAGCTTTTGACCATGCCAAGCCCTGTGTTTTTGGGTTGGACTTCAAACTTCTCCTAGCACAGAAGTTGGCATTAGACAGATATAGAAGCAATTTCCAAGAGCATCAAAGTTTCCACATCCAAGAGGGTTGAGTTTGGGGAACAATGGAACATAAAAGATGGAATGTCATTTTGGACTTTGGTGCAAAGGGCGTTGAGAATCAGAACAGTGGGGTCTTATTTCTTTATGATAATGTTCAAGACACTTCCCTTTAAAGGGCTCATTTTCCATCTGTAAAATAAAAAGAAACCACAGTCTTTACTGATTAGACAAAATAACTTGTTTTCTGTCACCTCTCGTGAAAGCTTTTTTATGAGCACTTTTGTCTATTAATCCTAGTGCTTTGCAGCCATTTTCCTTGTCTCTTCTTAGCCCAGGAGTTCCAGTTATAGTTCTCAAGTTCCTATTCTCATGTTTTGTTTAGGTATATCTCAGTTGTCAGTTCTGTGAAGAGAACGATTCAGAATTTCTTTTTATTTTTCTCTCTTTTTAACCATTTCTAGAGTGCCAGCAGCCTTCCTTTATTTTTCTCTCTAATGTTTGCAACACTTCGTAATGTAGTGCCCACCTCACATCCTCCTTTCAAAATGATTGTAATATTTTCAGGCAATTAACTGAACTAATTATTAGGGTGATAGCCTAGGAGCAACTACATGCATCCGACTATCTACCCCTTGAAGTAAATTTTTCTCCCAGAGCTGGGATCATGCTCTCCAGGAACTATGGAGAAAGAAACCCAAGGAGATTGAGATTTGCCAGGTACACAAGCAAAACTCATGGCCTACAGATGAATTTGTAAGAGCTGAATCCAAGCTGATATAACCTGGGAGACTTCTCCAGAGAAGAAAAACTATTGAAGAAACAGACTGGTGTTGGGGGTGTAATCAGGGGTAGAGTATGTCGGTTGTGTGTACTGAATCCCAGGTTCGATCCCCAGCACTGACAAAAGAAAAAAGAAAAGAAATACAGACCGAACTACCGTGCTTTTCTTTACAGAGCTAGACTTGCCCTTCCTCATCCAGGGCTTAGGTTAGTGTGGATCGAGGTGACCTCAGTGGAAACCGAAGGTGACCACTGGTCTATAAGCACCCAGGACGTAATGCTGTTTGAGTCTGCTAGGGATTAGGAAGAAGGGAAGCACTGAGAGCTAAGCAGCCCAAGTGCCTGAACATTTGGACATTTGGCTGGATCAACAGTGTGATGCTGATTACACAAAATAACTTGTTTTCTGTCACCTTTCTTGAAAGCCTTTTTATGAGCTCAAAGATGCTCAAAGATGAATGTCAGAAGAAAATAAACAGATAAATATAATATCTTTTTAACATCTGAGTCATTAAAATGAGAAGGGGGTAAAATCAGAAGTAACAGCGGCCAAAAGTTCTTGGTACTGGGGATTGAACTCACAGCCTTGCACTAGTCAGGCTTACATTGCTGAGCTAAATCCCCAACCCAGTCTAAAAGTTCTTAATGTGATCACAGAAGATGTCATGTTAACCATTTTCTGTCAACCTTTTAGTTTTTTATTATGTGTAGTTTAAAGAAACATGACTTAATCTGTGGCATAGCCTTTCTTAAGTATAGGGTTCTCTAACCTAACATTTCTAAAATATGTAATTATGTAGTTTTCCTACTGGAAGAGAAAGGAATGGAGGCACAGCGCAGGGCCATGCGTGCAGCAAGGTCCCCGCAGGGTTAGTGGCTGAGCCAAAACTGGCCCTCTTGCCACCTACTGTGCTAGCCTCAGGCTCTTCCCAGCAGACCACCAATTCTGAAAGTCCCTCCCAGCCCATTCACATGTATCTGCTTAGGAAAAGGCAGATTAATTATCCTAAAATGTTGCTTTGGGAAAAATAGAAAGTAAGCACTTGGGAAACCAGCTGTCCACACCAGTGAACACTCAGAAGGAGGAAGAGTTAGTGCCACTCACGGGCTGGAGGTGCTGGGGAATTTCTGTTAGAGGCTGCACAGGAAGGACTACGGAATAATGTGGAGGGCTTGCATGTCATGGCTTCCTGTGAGCATGCAGTCTGGGACGTGAGTGGGAGACCTGAAATATCCCAGACGGTACCTTCTCACTCCAAGAAGAGGGCCTGGCCAGGTGGTCTGCCACTTAGATGCTGCCTTTCCTCTGCTGCCCTCATCACTTCAGCCTCAGTGATGA